TTCTGTTACAGCAGCCATAATTGCAGTATTTTCTTCATTCGTTATTCGCACTCGAACTATCAAGTCAAACTTGCTGTTTGGATCAGGATATATTTCAGACAATTTTAAAAATTGTCGACGACCAAATACTTGGTCAGATCCAAAACCAAACCTCGTCTTTGAAAACTTTTCATTCTTGAGTAATATAGGAGTCGGTACCATTGAAGAGGATGAGGCAATTGATGATTCTAACCGATAAACTTCGAAAGCATATGTTCTTTCTCTCCCTAATGAATTGCCATCCCTCTCATGATCGGTTGGAATAGCTTTGAGAAACAAGCCCAAATAATTCTTGTCAGCTTGAGAAACACCATTTGGATACATGCACATTCTCCAAAGATAATCTGGAGCGTAGGTGTCTCCAATTGACGAAATCTTATTTGATTGTGGGTGATTTGGTTCAACAAAACTGTCACTGTAGAACCATCTACCTGTCGGATAAAGATCAGCTACTTCATGATAATCTCTTACAGTCCAAGTAAACGTGAATTGATCATGAGTAGGAAGCTTTGTATTTTGCTGGGGCTGTTCAGAAGCGTGCCTATTAGGCTGAAAAAGCCATTTCATACTCATATCTTCTCTTTTTTTTTTCTGGCGTTGAGGTGGAATTTTGGTTTGTTGGAAGGTAGAAATCGTAGAATTTGAAGTATATATGTCGGGTATAAGCTGTTGATCGTACGAGCCCATTGTTAGTCTTTTTGAAATCTCTTGAAGTATGGACAAGTAAGAGTCGTTGCACTTAAATAAAAAAGCAACTACTTAAATACTGATACCGGAAGGTCTGTTTATACTATTGTTATTACGCTTGATTTCCTTCTATGATAGAGAGAATTTTTTGAGCAGTAAAAAGTATATTTATATTTATACACTCTCAGAATTATATTTATGGTGATGATAGCTTAGTGTGCAGCGAGAGAAGGGCATTACAGCAGTGTTATCGTATCACAGTGTCAGAAATTTCTTAACTTGTCAAGATTTCAGAATTTTTTTGTTATTGTTTAATTTATCTACGATTTTTATTTATTATTTTAATGAATTTAAAAACATTTACATTTACACTGTGAACTAACGGTAGTTAATTAGGTACGTACGTACGTACGTAACGGTAATTTTTGTCAATGGACAAAATCTTGAACATGTTACACAATAAAGAAATATTAGTACTGTTAAACTCAAGTAAATAGCGTTAGCCTCTAATTTTTGAAATTTTACAATAAAAGTATAAGCATGCTTGATAGAGATTATCCCTAAATATATAATAAATTACCCGGATAACCAGGTAATTTAATATACGTATCCGGGTAGGGATTTTCTTATTTTTGGATATATGTATTACAAAAAAGATCTTGAAGTAAAACAAATTTTATTTTCAAAAACCAATTTGTCTAATTAAAATTTGAGTAGATATTTTAACTGCCTATATGAAATTAGAATTTTTTTTTTTAATTAGCAATTCTGCCTTTATTATTTATAAATTATGTATAGCCGCATATTCTGTATATATGGGACCTTCCACAGCAAAAGGGTGCATTGGGCCAAAAAATTTTTTTTTATTTTAATTGATTTCTTGAAGAATTAGACTAATAGGATTACAATTTTTATAAAATTACAAAATTAAAATTTTTGTCCCAATGCACCTTTTGCTGTGGGGGTCCCCATATACTGTTACAAGTAACTATAACCTTCTTGTAAATATAGTATAGCATATGATAACAGAGATCTTGTAAACAACAGAGAGAGATATAAAACGGTATAAAAGTGAAATGTTACTTTACTAGGGCAGTTTAGTATAGTTTATTTATAGTTTATTCAAAAAGCAAAAGGTATATATTTATTAATAATATAATATTTAAAATACAAAATTATCAATAGGTATTTATGGCTAAAGAATTCTAATAACTAAAGATTGTAGAGAACTAATCCTAAAGCTACAAGAGAGCAGAAAGTTAAAGTTTATATACTTTTACAAATACTAAAAAAATATTATTGTTATGCAAAATATAGATAATAAAAAAGATATAAAAAATATAAAAGATATAATAGTATAAAACATATAAAATATATAAAAGGTATAAAAAGTATAAAAGGTATAAAAGGTATAAAAGGTATAAAAGATATAAAAGATATAAAAGATATAAAAGATATAAAAAGTATAAAAGGTTGGGATTCTGCAGTCTAGTGATCTAGGCACCCAACCCTTTATAAGTGGGTTTTAGGTTTAAGTTCTAGTAGATATAGATTTTATAAATACTTGAATATATTTACTGTGGGAAGTCCAAGTGAGTACAAGTCTGGATTAGGAATTTTCAAAAAAAAATTCATTGTAAAGAGAAGGTTTTATTATACAAAGGTTATGTGTGTAAATTCTTGATTGGTATAGGTAGTACCAACAACCCTAAAGCAGCATTAGAATCTTGTTTAGAAGGATAACCAAACAGTAACTAGAATTGGAGTAGTGAAAAAAATGATAAACACAAAGAAATCTGTAGTAAAGAATTGGCCTTACCAGATTTGAAACACCTCTGGTGCTGTATATAATTACTTACTAAAAAATGGCTGAAGCATGAAGGTGTATACATGTCAAGACTCAATGAAGCTCTGTATATATCTATATGGGATCTTTGTTAAGATTTTTTTTTCTAAAAATAGATTTATTATGTTTTTTTTAATAAAAATCTTGTCTTATAAGGTTATTTTGCTAGAAAAATCCCATATAAGAGTCTTTGGATATTATGAGGTCTAGAACTACCAAAACTAGTATAACTAGTACAAGTACATGTAGTATATAATGATCAGGGGATATGTCACACTGCAGGGGTGGCTACTGTATACTTATATTAAATTTTTATTGAATGATTGACAAATTTCTTATATTACTTGACAGAATTTTTCTCTTTAAGCCATAATAACTTTTTTTTAAAAAATATATTTTATTACTACATTTAACAAAAATGTTAGTTTTAGTCTTTTATTTTTTTATATGGTGAAGTTGCAATTTATAGAGTGACTAGGTTTTAAAGAATCTCGAATTGAAACAAGACAACTTAAAAACATTATACAAGTAATTTTTTAAATTCATTACTAACTTATCTTTTTTTTTTTTTTACAAAAAAATCAAAGTATAGCAAAAATATTTGGTTCAATTAAAATAGCAAGCACAATAGAATCAACTTGTAAAAAAGCACCTAAGGTATAAAATTAATATTAGTTACTGTTATAATAAATAATTAAACTGCATTTATTATTATAAAGAGACTCTTTGTAATGATCCTGATAAGAACTTTGAAATTCTTGACTATGTTAGCATTGGGGATAATTCTGAAAGTTTTGAACAACCAACACCTTCACTATCATCTAAATGTAGTACAAGCAATACAAAAAGTAATATAAATCTATATGATAGTTCATATGATATACAATTTGATATATCAGCAATTGGGTTAGCCAAGGCATATGCCAATTCATTATCAACAACAATACAAGAACAAGACAATGAAATAGATATAAATTGGTTAGCACAAGATCTTGATGTAGCATCTGATAAAGAATCATTATGAGATATGACTTTTTATCATAAAAATAAATTAACTTTAGAATTTGATTCTGGTGGTATTAAGAAAATGAATGGGATATGCATCATAGTAGACAATTTAAATGGAATATTACAATGATATTCTTATCCTATAAAGAAACCATTGAAACAACTTAGAGAGATTTGGGAGCTAGATTTTGATATGGTAAATGAAATCATTATGAAATCAAAGCGTGATAGTTTAAATACACTAGAGGTTTGCAAAAGCCACTTTAATTATGATAACAAACAATTATACAAATATCAAAAATCAGAAGTTTCTATTAATAGAGCAGTAATTTGTCAAAAAAGATATTTGTTCTGTGGACACTATAAGTATGTATTTAGTTGTGAGTATTGTACAGAACATTCATAAAAATTATATGATCAGAATATACAAATAGTTTGTAATGGATTAAAAGTTTGTCCTGTATTTCAAAGGAATGAATTTACTAAACTTTCACCTAGTTCTAGACGTGTACGTTATATATATATGTCATGTTTTACAGCTGAAGAAGGCCATTTGTATAAACAAAAAGGGTGGGGTTTTGTTCCTCCATTTGACTGCACAAATTGTCATTATAATGATTCTGCAAAGTCATTTCAATTTATTACAAAATGGATAAATAAGATATTAGAGTTTGCTAATAGAGATATACAATGCCTTCCTCTTTAAGAAATTTTTAAAGGAGTAATAATATTTTTTAAAAAACTTAACTATATCAAAAAGTCAAAAAATGATAATGTTAGTGACAAAGAATTCAATAGTAATACAACTAAGAAAAATAAAGAGCCTAAAGATTTAAATTCGCATTAAGAGAAATCTACAAAAGAAAAGGTAGAAATTCTGATATCACTAAGTTTTTTAGAAGTAAAAATTGCTTTTAGATTAAAGAAAGTCAATGTTAGAAAATTATTAAAAAGTGAAATATATTGTGATTAGGGTTGGCATGGACCAGTCAATAGTCAAGCTTGACTAGTCCAGTTTAACTAATTTGACCAGTTGGTCAAAGGGTTTAGTATTGGTCAAATTGGTCAAAGGATATTTAAATATATATACTATATATATTTATATATATATTTATTTATTTATTTATTTTGGATTCTAAATTTATTTAATTAATAGACTAGACTATTTGACCAATTCGACCAGACCATTTGACCAATTTGACCAGACCAGTTTGACTATTGAATTTTTGGTTGACCAGTAATTTGACCAACCCTGATTGTGATGTAATTAAAAAAAATCCAAAACAAATAAGCAAAGCTTTGGCAACTTTACTTTGGCATTTAAGATTAGAAGTTCGTGCAAATAAGGAAAAATTAGTAAATCCAATTCTTTAGAAGAATATCAAAATGGTTTTTTATTAATAATTTTAAATTTTTTTTATAAATTAATAAACACTATTCAAAAAAATAAATAGAAAGTTGTTTTAAGAAAACAGAGAAAAAAAAAAACTTTTAATAAGGACTATGATAAAATACGTGCTAAAAAAATTTCTATATTTTTTATTTCAGTATTATTATACTATCAATTATATTTCCAGAATTAAATATATGGTTTACCCATATTCTTAGCTCACTTTGCCAAAAGCCCTGTTTATATACATCATTGTATTCAGTATTGTGTGTAGCAAATATTGTAGCTTACACTAATAGATATGAAAAATATTTAGAGAAGCAATACTATAAACAAGTTGACATAAATAGTAAGTTATAGAAAGAAAACAATATATGAAATATTTGTATGGTTGATAATATTAATATTCAAGAAAGTACATTTAGCTATGACAATATTTTTGATGTATCATGAAAAACAGCTCATGCTACACTCTGAATATCAACTTTCACAAAATATATCAAGCCTTATAGAATCTTATAATTCAGAACTTTCTATTTTTCAAGTTAAACAGTCAATATTTATTAACAATAAAATAAAAAAATTACAAAATATTTTTAATTTATTTGTTGAAAATAAATAGTTAAATTATGATACCTTTGATATAAAGTCTGAGTTGTGAAAAAATACACCAATAGATTGCAATATACCAAAGCCAAATATTGTAATTTTAAAACCTAGAAACAATTCATATAATAATTTAAAGGATTTTGTAATATAGTGTATCTGCACTGCAGTGCATCGGTTTATCACATGACTATAATTGATAATATATAATACACTTATCGATTACTACCCGTATCGATATATATTAAACTATTAATATGCATACTGTACATATGTACAAATATTTATTATAGTATTACACTAAACGTTATTTAACTTTACATTTATATGCAGCTTTATTTATAAACAAATCACTAAATATTTCGAATTGTAGAAAAACAAGAAAGCAAATATGAATATATGAGTGACACCAATAAAAACCCAAGTAGTATTTTTGGGGGTTTCACCTTTTTAAGCTTAGAGTTCATTAAGTATAACTTTATAATTACAATGCAAGCTATAAAATTATGTCTTGTATACTATTTTGTATATAGAAAAATAAACTATTTATTGTGTTACTCTGTCTCTTCTTCTGTTTTTTCCTCACTTGTTTGCTCTATATCTTTTTTAGGACACCTAGCAATGTTATGACCTGGTTTTTTACAGTTACTACAAAGATTCGGATCACTTTTTCTCTTTCTATATATCATCAATTCTTGCATTGTATTTTTATTTTTTCTATTTGTCTTATTGTTATGATGACTTACAGATTTTGGTCTGCCTCTTGTAATTACTTTTCGTGGATTTCTAAGTTGAATATTTATTAACATTTTCCTTATTTGAATTATTTTCTAAATCAGAATTTCGCCTATTTCTTCGAATAAAATTATCTTCACGTTTACATATACTTGCCAAATAGTTTTCAATGATATTAATAAATTCCTTATCATGATGCAATAAACACTTGTTTGTTGCAGTACGTGCCAAACCCTATACTCTTTCATAAAATAATAGTTCATCAACAAAACCTTCATTTGTATTGTTTTCTTGCTCATTCATATCATGAAATGGTTGAATCCAATTAAAACTTGGACCTTTGTTTTTTATATTCTCCTCATTCTCTAAAACGCTATCAACAAACTATTGCCCAAAATGATCACCTTCCACTGCTACATCCTGATGAAATTCTTTAGGAATCTATCTAGAAGCAATAAGTCTTATATTAAATCATACTATTTGCGTAATATTTAATAAATGAAAATAGTGATAGCAAACAAGTCCTTTTTTTTGTTGAAGTAAACATGTACAACAGTATAACTCATTTTTTAGACAAAAAACAATATGATTTATATTATGACTTGTAACTTATGAAATATTTTAAATTTTAACAATACTAGAATAGTCTAATTGTTGTAAAAGAAAATTTGCATATATTGATACACTATTCAATTCATCTTCTAGATCTTCATCCTGAGATGGCTCATAATATGTTATTGTATATATGTACGTTTAAACCTTTTAAAGAGGGTATTATATTTTTTTTTTGACCTAATTTAGGATTATGATCTGGCACTATAACTGTTGTTTTTTAATAATGCAATAATAAATTATATAAGTTATTATATATTATATACAATTATGTTCGAATATCTATTGAATTTGTAGTTTAAAATACGTAGAATCATTATATATAATAAATAAAAAAATTTACATATGCACACAATGCTTTTCAAAGATACATATAGGTTATATAATTAAATCGGGCATATAAATTGTAAATCAGAAGGTACAAAGTATAAAACGGGCAAAAATAGAGTGTTTAGAGTGGACAAAATGCTCGAAAAATTACTATTAACCCAACTCGTACCTCTATTAGTATTATCTGGGTCCTGGTTAGGCATTGACAGCAGTAGTGAGTTCTACATCTGCTATAATGATCAAGCCTTTTTGCTTCTATTTGAGTCTTGTCACAACTACAATGATAAGTTAGGTTGTCTAGTTTCTGTTGTGCTAAAGAACAATTAATTTTAATATATCCTATTTGCTTACAACCAAAACACAAGTTCTGAGGACAGTTCTTGAACAGATGATTAGTTTTGTTGCAATTTTTACAATTGGCTCTTTTGTTCTGTTTATTTGAGCAGTTAATAACAATATGACCCATTTTATAACAATATTTGTATTTATTCTGGAGACAGTTTTTGTACTAGTGATCTTAGAAACTACAACTTTTATATTTTGGTGGGCTTCTATACTGGGGTGTATAGGTGATCCATCCTTCCTCTTCTTTATTTGTTGTTGTAAAAGCATAGACTTCTTGAGGGGTTAAATATTCCTGCTTGTATAGTTCAAAGTCTTCTGGTGTGATACAAGTAGGTTGCTTTTCTTTGGGCTATTCTTGCATATATGAAGTGTCAATTATAAGTTTCTTTCCTTTTCAATACATGGTATATTGGCAAGTTTTCCAGTTATAGTTTGCTTCAATATTTCTAGACTAATCATTTCCCAAAAGTAATGAATATGAAATAGCAGGTACTACTTCTATATCAATAGGAATAGTTCTATCTTGAATTTTAACAGGTAGGTTTCTAATAATACTAAAAGGTCGAGAGGTAGTTCTTGTAACAGCTACAATTAAACTTCTAGAGAGTTCATCTATTTTCAATCCCAGTTCTTTTACAACTTTATGAGCAATCATGCTAACAGAGGCTCCACTATCAATAATAGCAAGGTATATATAATCTTTTAGATCTATAAAGTATTTGACAGGGGTAATGTTGTTGTTGTCATCCATGATTGGTTTAGTGTTTTCTCAGTTCATTTCAGTAATATATATAGTAAGGGCTGTACGAATAGAGTAGTTGTCTAGAAATCTTTCCCAATTATTGTTGTTAGATGGTGTAGAGTTAGGGTTAGATTTTAATGTTTCTGCTATGTTTATATTCTGGTAGTAGGGTGTAAGTGAGCAGTGAGATCTGGGTCTCTATCTTTCTTGGCCTCTATCTCTAGATCTGCTTCTATCTCGAGAATAGTTTCTATCT